GTTTTTTACCTAAAGGACTGACTTACCTTGAATTAAATGTTTAATATAGCCTACTTTTTTTATTATTATTTTTAAATGCCTCTAGAAGTAGATTTGATTGAAATAAGAGTTAGTTCAGTGTATGTTAATAAACTATCAGAAAACATTTAGCTAGTGTCAGTAAGAACTGTAATATCAGTAAGTAAACTGCATGGAACCTGTCTCGTTTGCATTAATAGCCTATGAGGCTATATGTGTTTTATTCTGATTCACTCCAAGTTTAGCAGAGTGTAAATCGGACTAGCCTATGTTAGTCCAAATATAAATTGATCGACGCTTAAATTACAATATGTTTGTCTGGTGTCATTTCAAAATGTTACCAAGTGTAGGCCTATACCTATTTCGTAGGCTACATTGTGGTCATGGTTTATCAGCGACCTCTAATTCATAGGCCTATATAACCTTGATCACTTTCATGGAATTATAGTTTATTCCGATGAATTAATTGTTACATTTAACGAAGTTATCAAATAGACGCGTGTGGTCCCTTTTCGGTTTACCACCAAAAACATAGATGGAGCCGCACGAGCCTCTGACGACGTCTCACCTCCAATTGGCTGTTGGCGCTCTCTGAACCACAGTAGAGCGCGAGGAGAGATGCGATTTGCTAATAATGCCTTAATTCATGTACCAGTCTAGGCGAAGACCCTTTTAGCCAACTCCTCTCTTTGTTTATCAGTTGTTGGCTACTTCAATATATGATAGAGTGCAAATAGTAGCCTGGCCTACTCTGGTCTATATATGCATGTCACTCACATCCTAATTCATTATTCACTATCATTTTAGTGTAGGTTGTTACCATGTATGCCATTTGCTGTGACAAAAAAGGTGGGATTTAAGTTTATTTTGGTCACATTGGTTTATGAAGAAAAAAAGTCCATTAACATTTTAACTTCATTAAAAGGCTATAGGATATTATAAGGCATTATATTATCATCTGGATTTAACAGTGTGACTTTCCAAGAATGCATCTAAACTGGAATACAGGCTACTCGGTTTAGCCTACTCTTATGTTGTAGCTAAAGTTAATGTTATTGAAGTGATACAATGATACACTGGCAATATCCAATCTACCCATGTCTTAAATATTATATTACGTTCACCTCTACAGAGTTTGGAATTCTAATGACTTAAACCCAGGACGCATTAATATTGTAGCGCAGGTTTGTTTAAACAATTGCATGCATATAAATGAGTCTCAAGGTAATTTACTCTTCGAAAAAAGACCTCATTGATGTGTATCCAACGGTAATAAAGGGCTCGCCTAAAATTACCGCTGAATCGTCTAATTAAAAGCGCTGCTCTCGTGCTGTATACCTGCGCTGAACTCCCGCCTTTAATGAGAGCGTTGTGAGCCACGTGAGCTCACGTTTCTCTGGAATAAGCCGTGACAATGGCGTATTCAGTCGGTAGTCTAAATAATTAAAAAGAGAGGAATAATTACAGTATAAAATTGTAATTATTGTTGGGCTGCAGGAAAGCCTTTTGATTGTGAAAGACGACACGACGGAGCCGAATCCGGTTTAGGTTTCCTTTTCCATCAATATTGCAGGGAGCTAAGCTAACCGTCTTTCTCGCTATCTGACTACGGTGCGTGTGCATTGCAGGGCAAACGAAGTCCAACTTTCGAAGTCATTTTCATATTCATCAGAGTAATAATGATTGATAACATTTGAATAGGCCAAATTTATGAAGAGACGAATTATAGCCTATATGCTCAGTATAGGCTAATGTTTTGCATAGCTATCTAATAGGCCTACAGTATAGATATCATTTCTTGTGACATCTGTTTTTTTTAAATATATATCTTAAAGAAACTATAGATTTTTAAGGTCGTGACATCTATTTTACGAGACATTAGAGGGTGTCAATCCCAAAACATCTGGCGCATAACTGTTTTGTCAATTCATCTAGACCTAGGTAGGCTATATATGCAGCTAGTTTATCCATCATGTAAATTATAGTTGTCAATGGCAACATATTATGAATAGGCTAACTTATGCTAGGTTTAAAGGGCATAGATGTTCTACTTTAATAGTGTCTGCTTAGCAATAGTTGGCTTGGGGGCGTTTGTGGACGTTATTAACTCCTATTTGATTGTGGTAATTGTTCACATTTTGGCCCGGACAGTTTGATTAATTACATTTTAATCAAAGTGTCCATTTAGGACAGACAATGTTGGGAATATAGGCTATAGGCATTCAGGCTACGTGTGCATTTTAAAATAGCAAACAAATTGTAATTTTAGTAAGTCCTTAAACAATAAAAACCCAATTGGAAAAACAACTAAAAATAATTTTTAAAAATCTAACAAAACGTAAACTTCTGTCATTCAGACTGTACCCGATTTTTTGTTCAACCTGTGTATTTAGGCCTACATGTGCAAATAGTTTTAATGTTATTTTTAAACTAAAAAGAAAAGTTTGCATGCCTTTCCTTGAACTTTATACCCGGGCAAGGTATTGATACCTCAGCCCAAGGCTTACTGGGGTTAACTGAGGGGCATTGATCAGGTTATGAATAGTTAATATGGTCCTACAGTATTGGGTTTCATCACTTACCTCAGCCTATTGCTCTAATATATCACTCTGTTTGTAGACGCAATCTGCTCTCACCGTGTCCAGTGTGCTCAACAAATTTTCTTCATTTACTGACAGTTTGGTTCGTGGGTAGTGGGTATTGAGAGAGTGAGAGAGAGAGAGAGAGAGAGAGAGAGAGGGGGGTGGGGAGGGGGGACATGCAGCAGCAGCATATGACAGTCCCGCCCGAGGCAAGTTATCTACTCATCTAGGATTCGGTCCATTTTCAATGCAGAATCTAAGAATGCACAGTATGTGATTTAAAACGTGTCCAATTGTTTGACATTCAAACAAAAGCACGCGAGCCTTAAAATTCATGGCGTCTTTACCAGAAGGGCTGGAATTGATTTGCGTGTCCACGAGAAGCCAAACAGATGGTCCTGTAACTTGATAAATGATACATTCAGCCATTTTGTTGCCTTCGATTTCATATTCAGTTTTGTCCTAAATTTGCTCGTTTGTTAATGCTGGTAGTAGTCTATAGGCCTTCATTGGCATTTGGTAGAGGCAGTTACTCTCCGAGGAAGAGTTGGGATATGCAAAAAAAAAAAAAAACATTTCCAATTAACACATGGGTATAATACACACTTGTACCTACATGTGTGAAATAGGACAAATATAGGCACCCATCAAATTATAATTATTAGTCTATTATTAAAATCTCGTTGGTCATTAATTGTGTCAATAAAGACATCTATAAAATGTACCTTATTACTTAGCACACCATATTAATGCAATATCTATCTATATCTATCTCTTAATCATTTTTATTCACATCTATGAAAGATCCACTGAGGTAAGTTTAAATGGATCAAGTAATAGCCTAGTGACTGTTGTTCCTTCATAGTCCAGGAGATAATCTAGTTAAAGAGAAGGAACGCCACAACGCTAAGTGGGTGTGCCTTGCCATCCATCAGTTTAGCGGTCACTTCTTCAGTGAGGAGCGTCGTCTGCTGTCTTGAGTGGCGAAGGCTCGAGGACTGCCATGTGGTCACGCTCTTGTGCGCCACTCAGCCCGTGAGAGTCGAGGAGGATGGAAGTCAGTTCACTGTACTGAGAGAGAGAGAGAGACACTACACAGAGAGATATATTAGGCTAGTCTGAACGCTTGGTCCAGCAACAGTATATTTTATCTCGGACTAAACCTCTGGTTGTGTCCGTGATTTTGTTCAACTTTTTGATGAAAAGTTGTTTCCTAAGCCTAGGAGTACTGTGTTATTTTCCAGAAAGAAAGGTAAGGATCTTATTATTTTCAATTCGTTGTCTTGTGTATTTTCTATTGAAATGGTAATGTCTCATCACCAGTCACAACAGCTTAATATTTGCCATGTTTTCGATTGATTTAGGTAAATGTTGCCTTTCATTTATTTTCCAATTAATATAATATTTTAGGAAGACTTATAGAATATATATTTACAACCGTTGCACAAAACAAAAAAAGATGTGACCCGATGTGAGATGCTAAATGTGAGGGAAATATTTGCCTTTTATAAAAGTCGATTTTAGATTATATTGTAGGCCTATAAGCCATTGTACTAACGTTCATCTAGGGAGACACTCATGCGATGTTTTAATTATATATAGGGCTAGTCTTTTATTAACAGATCAAATACGTACAATTGAACCCGTGTAATTACCAAGAAAGCAGCTTAGCTGTTCTTTTCCTCTCTGGTAAGCGCATTGGCGCAGCTCAAGAGTGTATTTTCCTTCTGCTCTTTTGCGTATAAGGATCTTATGTAGTTCTTAAGTAATCACCCTCGCCTCTGAGCCGATTTAAAGACATCAGGAAAAGGTCCCGTCCATAAACAACTATCTGATCATGGATAGCCTTAGTTGGCATAGGCCTACAGAAATGCAATCCAATAGGTGATGTAAAACGATGCTTTTGGATGGTTCAGACACTATTAATAGACCTATATTAAACATGCTCGTATACAATGTAACGTTTATATTAAATGATGTAGACCTATTTCATTTATTCGGCTATTATTTATTTATTTATTTAGAACTGGGTCACCAAAAACGAATAACTAACTCATCCTTGTATTTTGTGAATAATGCTGGGTTAAAAATGTTTTTGATTGTTCTATAATAACACTGTAAGTGTATAATAATAATAATAATAATAATACATCTTGTTATTAGCATGTAATAACACTGATCTTCTGCGTTACTTTTAAGACCGTGACTATATTATTATTGCACGAAATGTGCGCGCGTAGGCCTGTTGGTAAGATTAATTACAAAGACTGTTGATTTGGAATGAATTGCAAACCATTTAGGGCTCTAGCATTTTTTGACAGGGGTTATGCCAACTGTAGGCCTATATGGTAGTGCAATAGGCTACCCTAAAATGATTTGTTTATTTTCAGACTTCCAGGAATGGAGTCGATACCCAATCAACAACCAGCGGGACGAGACTCCAGCTCTTCCCCCAGCTCCAAGCAGGACGTTCAGCCCTTCTCCAGCCCCATCTCCCTGAAGCCTAACCAAGTCAGCGAGACCGCGTTGTATGGAGTGCACATCGTGTCTTTGGTCATAGATGGCCAGGAAAGACTTTGCTTGGCGCAGATATCCAACACATTGCTAAAGAACTACAGTTACAACGAAATCCATAACCGACGCGTTGCTCTTGGAATCACCTGCGTCCAGTGCACGCCAGTCCAGCTCGAGATACTGAGGCGCGCTGGCGCGATGCCAATCTCCTCGCGGCGCTGCGGTATGATCACTAAGCGCGAAGCCGAGAGGCTATGTAAATCATTCCTCGGTGCTCACAACCCACCAAAGCTACCGGAAAATTTCGCTTTTGATGTCTCTCATGAATGTGCTTGGGGAAGCAGAGGTAGCTTCATACCTGCAAGGTATAACAGCTCGAGGGCCAAGTGCATTAAATGCACATATTGCAACATGTATTTTTCCCCGAATAAATTCATATTCCACTCCCATCGCACTCCCGAGTCCAAGTATACACAGCCAGACGCAGCAAACTTCAATTCGTGGAGGCGCCATCTCAAACTAACAGACAAAAGCTCGTCAGATGATGTTGCCCACGCGTGGGAGGATGTTAAAGCGATGTTCAACGGGGGGAGTCGTAAGAGGACGCTACCTATGAGTGGGTCATGCATGTCCTCTCCTTTGAAGTCACATTCCACCAGTAACCCAAACCAAAGAAGTTCCCCCGAGGTACCCCATAAAACGTTGCGTTGTGACGAAGACCGAGGTAGGCCTAACATCAGTCTGCCAAATGGCGTCCGGAACTACCCGGTTATCCCTGTGCCCAGCAAGAGCTTTGGGATGCTTCAAAAGATCCCGCCACCGCTCTTCCCCCACCCGTACGGATTCCCTGCGTTTGGACTGTGTCAAAAGAAGGACGACGGAGTGGGAGAGATAAATAAAACCAACGTTTCGGGTGTCTTTTGGCCAGGCGCAAAGGACAGTATATATCCCTCTTTCCCCATGTTTTGGCCTACAGCAGGTGGCCTACCGATGCCACCGTATCAACAGTCACCACCCAAACCGCCCTCAGAGCTCTTAAGTGTCCGGCAGAGTGAGCTCGAGTTATCGGATCAAAGTGACCGGTGCGCAAACACACCTAAGGATAGCTTTCACGACAGCGAGCGCTGCTCCAGCTCACAATCCACCCGGAATGAAGAGGATAAATCCGGGGATGAGGCCCGGTCGATGGAAGGACCCCCCACAACTCCACGGAAGATAAATTACATCTCTGCGTTCAGACCTGTGGTGAAAGACGCCGAAAGCATTGCAAAGCTATACGGCAACAGGGACACGTACAACGGTGTGCGCTCTGGTTACCTATCCCCAGATTTCGTGAGTGAAAGTTCTAGCTATAGGTCTATGTCCCCGGATGTGGATAGCGCGGACGACCCAGACGTTGACGTGGAGTCAAACAGGGCACAAGAGGATGAAGAGTCAGTCCAACTGTCAGTGGAGGACCGTCAGAGTCCCCCGCCCCTCAACCCACCCCATTCCGGGCCTGAAGATAGTCAAGAGCTGGGGACAAGTCCAGGACCACCCCCGGAAGATCCCCACTCCGGGTCCTCTGATGACGAGAGGCATGGTAGACAGGTGTCAGAGCGCAATGATACACCGGTGTACGAAGTAAGTGTGCCAATGTCCTTATGAGTGCTTTGGTGTTCAATCTTGATATATGGTACAATCTCTTTACGCACACGTTTGTCAAATACTTTAGGCACTAATCCACGGAGACTTGTTTGGATCTCATATGAAAATGGGATATGTTTGGTCCTGTAAGCGCACCGGCATAAAGCATGGTCATCATGCTTTGTTTAATGTACCAATATTCATAGGCCTATGCCCTGTAGGCTGTAGATATGGTTGGCAGCGTTGAACTGTTTGAAGCCTAAACAGTAAGCTGATGTGATGTATTCAATGCGTTTTTGCAAGGGGATTTAATATTTTGGTGAAATGAAAACAAACATTTTTATATTAACTATATCCATGTAGGCCTTCTCGCATGGGTTTTTAATTGTGCTCTTGTAAACCCAGAAATGACAGAAGGCTGAGCCTGTTTAGACATGATTGGCAGGTTGAGGATGCTGCCTCGTACTGAACAAATATGGAAATTATCTTTTGTTAAATACATTTTGGCAATGACATTTACAAAAAAAGACCATCGTCCCAATATGAAAGAGATTGAGAATGGAATAGGCCTATTTGAATAAGGTTGCTGAGTGGTAGCCTAGGTCTGTGTCTTGTCTTTTGTTCTAAAGATAATTACAGTGTTTCTGTTTGGAGTGTTTACTGCGAGCCCTGTAGTGTTTTGAGAAAAGGTTAGGCCTGCGCCGGCCTCGTCCTAATTTCAGTCAAACTGCAATTTAGATAGGTGGACATCAATTGAATTACTTCCATATAATTATAAATTGGAGACGTGTCACGTGGGTATATCTTCTCAAAGAATTGCTTGTGAAATTAAGAGAATTATAGATAATTGCAGTTGTATTGACTATAATGGCGATGGTTAATTTTGCAGGTGTACACACATGAAAAGGATGGACACATGCCTTTGAACGGTCAATCTACGTTTGGATCAAAACACAGCAGCCCATTGCAATCGAACGGTAGGTCTATTATCTTGAATAGCACATCTTCATGGTATAGTTTCTGTATGCAAATAGGCACGTCGCTTATTACCGTCTTTATCAGGTGTCCTCCATGTTTCCGACCCACATAAACAACGTTCTCCTACAAGAGAGGACGTGCCACAGAGAGCCTATCAGGACCAAGGAAAGGAAAGCCCACCATGTGAGTCTCTCTCTCTCTCTCTCTCTCTCTCTCTCTCTCTCTCTCTCTCTCTCTCTCTCTCTCTCTCTCTCTCTCTCTGTCTCTGTCTCTGTCTCTGTCTCTGTCTCTGTGTGTGTGTGTGTGTGTGTGTGTGTAAAAGTTTAGTAGGTCTACCATGGTAATATAGCCTACTATATTATAATATATGTTACGAAATTGTTAGCCAAAGGTTTCTCACTTTTTACTGTTGCAAATATGATAATTTAGTACAGAAAATTGAGTAAATTAGATTAATTAATGAGCTGATGCCATCGTTTAATATTTATCTTGCAGGCGATGGGGCATTACGTCAGCATGAAGTCAGTAGAATCCACAAAAAAGACATCGAAAACATGGCTAAAGGTAATAATGTAACTTTTATCAATGATCATTGACATTTGTTTATTTTGATTAGCCTCATGCAAAACGACCAACAAGTATGCCTAGCCTCGTTTCAAGTAATTAGATCTCATCATAAATTGAACAAAGCAAGGTGGAAATCACTGAAATAATAGGCTAATTGTCGGTTCTATTAATTTTTTAATTTTCATATTTAGGGTTGATTAAACAGAGTTTTATTTTAAACATAACGAACACGTGTGAACACGGCTCTATTTGTAGACCTACCTCCTCAAAGCCTACAATTTCAACATTCGAAAAAAACCTCGTGCTGTTTATTATAGGCCTTTTTATGGAAAATGAGAACCATTTTCAATGTTAGTCTTGTGTAGGCTACGACGTGTGGATTGTTTCCGTCCATATCTCAGTACTGCACTAACAAAATAATGCCTATAATGATTTGTCTAATCATCTGTTTTCTTGATCAAAAAAAAAATATGCCTACAGCTTAACACAAGTTTGCACTGTCACATTTGAATTGTTTTCCATTCGTTAACCTCCTCTTATGTTAAATTATGAGCAACGGAATTGTTCTCATTATTGTAACACGAAATCGTTTTTAGACTATTAATATTTTAACGAGCCCAGCCATTAAGCTGCGGCGCTCGAGCCTCAAACCCGGAGGCGATGGAGCTAATTATTTAGCAATACCATGCTTGGAGAAACAGTGAGGCTAAACGACTGTTAGCGTTCCAACCATAGGCCTTCTGATAATAGTTATTACGATACTATAGGGAAATAACCAAGGAAAACATTGTGGTTGTTTTTACCCATAGGCCTGTATTGTATTAGGCCTGTAATCAAAATAAAATGCTTTAATTGTTGAACAGGCTGTCTAAGATAGGTCTGCAATATATAGGCCAAGTATGTTGAAAGACACATTTGGAATTTACTGCTATGCCTATTGCATTTTTACGACGACGATGATGATAATGGTGATGACCGCTTCGTTTTGCAGAGGAACTTCAGAAACAGCTTGTAGAACAAGTGGAGCTCAGAAAAAAGTTGGAACGCGAATTTCAAAGTTTAAAAGGTAGGACGCTTTATTGTCCTACTGCTTAAACATACATAGAGTCGAGGTGCAGCTGATATGCAAGATTCACATGGGGGGAAACAGGTGCAACTCGATATCTTAAAGTTAAAAAAAATCTAACTTTATTTCAAAAAGTTAAAGTCATTCACGTTTCCACCATCTTGTCCTGTATCAGAATGAGTGTAAACATAAAGAATGAATGAAGCGAACATTAGTGGACAGCGGCATGGTGCTGAAATGGACGTAAATGATTTTTTTTGCTTCAAAAGCGAGAGCTGCTCCTGTTTCCCACACATTGAGGTCTTTATTTAAATGTAATTATATGCCTTAATGTTGAGAACCCCCCCATTAGGATCTAATTCTATTATTTGGACTTGCGCACTGTGTTAACAGTAGCCGTCTGCTTGCTCACTATGCAGATAATTTTCAGGACCAAATGAAGAGGGAACTGTCCTACAGAGAAGAGATGGTCCAACAGCTTCATATTGTCCGAGGTGAGTCTCCAGGAAAAATAATGGGAATATGCTAAATGAGCAGAGTTTTAATAAATTAAATAATATGTCCCGACTTGAATTTAATTAAATGACCCATATCGTAAGTATGAAAACATGCATGTAAAAGAACAGCCAAATTGACTTTGTTGCTTCCTTGTACCACACAAGAATGAAGAGGGGAAAGTGACACTTGCATAAATTCGGTCATTATCGAATTAGGCTACATGTCCACAATCCACATATAATAGCCTACCATTCCTGTAAAATAGTCAAAATTTTTCGCAATTTGACTGGAAATTGTCGAGTGAACTGCAATAATATCAAACCACAGAGAGATTGATTTCGCTCTGTTTTGTTTGCAAATGTTATTTTCTCCTAAATCACGCACTGGAAAATGTAAAAGGCAGACCATTACGTATCGTCGTATCAGTTACATACAGTAGACGACAACAGCTGATGCCGCCCTTTCACGGATAGCCTAGCTCTAGAGTTACTGGAACGCAGCAGTGTAAATACACACTTCAACTACACTAAGGGGTCACTCAAAATACCCGAGGGTGAACAACATAAATTACAGTCATCCATTTCAAAGTTTACAAACCACCGCTTTGTAGCTCAATTATAGCGTTTTTTTTTCTTATTTATTTATTTGTTGTTTGCTTAGACACTTTGTGCAGCGAGTTGGATCAAGAAATAAAGGCGCGTTATGCAATACAACAGAAGCTAAAAGGTAATTTATATGGTCCAAAAACAGAACATTTATCCAATTTCAGTCCATTTGTGAATTAATTAAATGGCTAGCTGGGCCAGGACATAGCCTTCTATTGGACTTTGAATATTTGTCAAATGATTGTCCAACCGTACCTATGCAAGTGCTACTTTTTTATTCTTCCCTAGCATGTGTGTCCTTATGATATGCTAATTCGTAACACATTTGATATCGAGAAGAAATACTGTGGCATGTAGACTGAAATTAGACAGAATGAATAGAGAATAAATAGTGTGGATATAAATACAATGAATACATTTAATCTACCCAGTGTTTGAAGTGACAAATCCCCTTTCTCCCTAGAAGCTCATGACGCCCTGCACCATTTCTCCTGCAAGATGCTGACCCCTCGTCACTGTACCGGAGCCTGTACTTTCAAACCCCCTCTGCTGCCTCCATAATAGACCACAATACCCCCCCCAACTGACCCCAGTACAGCTCACTGCAGCCAAAAAGAGAGATGTCCACCTCAAGTTTTTTTTAATTTTAATTTTTAATTTATTTTTAATTTAATTTAATTATTTAGTCACAGTCTCTCCGTGACTTCTTTACCATTGCCCTCCCTCACCAGTCATCCAAGGATTCACAACCTGTGTACACTAGTACACACTCCAGCGCTATTTATTGAACTCAGAAGAAGTGGATATGCAGGTTAGGAGAACTAGACCTTCCATTGAAAACAACTGTTGAAGATACACCAAGACCGAACGACTGGTCCATGAATGAGTTGTATTTATAGACAGTTATTAAGTTGTAAAGAATTCTTGATCTGGATTCAGCACGTCCCTTTGAATCATAATCCATTGCTCTTTAGATATCCTGAATACACACACACACACACACACACACACACACACATATATATATATATATATATATATATATATGTGTGTGTGTGTATATATATGTATGTGGAGATGTGCAATGAGTTGTATAATGTGATATTTCATAAGTAACAAGAATCCTAGCATTCTTTGGTTGTTTTACCATATTATGTATGTGTTTTTTTACATATATTTATTTAATTTGTTTAATTTAGTCGTTAATCTGTTCTGTCCATCTGAAACATTAAACAATGTATATTATTGATGTGAAGCACTTTAAATTGGCAACATTACTACTGATCTGGACCACACTGTACTAAGAAATAAAGAAAACCCTGTTAAGCATCTAATGTATAGAATACACTTCCTTCTAATGCAGTGTTTCCCAATACTGGATCAGGGGACCCAAAGCGGTGCACCTTTTTTTTTGTTGTTGTCCTAACCCTAACACACCTGATTCAAATCAAAGGCTTGATGAAGAATTCTTGATTAGTTGACTCGAGTGCTAGGGCAAAAACAAAAATGTGCACCCCTTTGGGTCCCCAGGACCAGGATTGAGAAACACTGTTCTAATCGCACCAACATTTATTCTAGCACTTATTCCGTAGTAACCAATGACCTTTCAACCTTGAGCTAATTCAATTAAAGGCTCAGTTTGCCTAAAATGTCACACAACAGATTAGTCTTTTACAGTGTATAGAATTCAGTCTCTCAACTGTGATTGTTTTTAATCATACATAGATACCATGTACAGTATATTCATTATAAACGGTATATTTCTTCCATATGATTTGAGCATTCGGTTACAAGACACACCCAGCTTCAGTTGTACTTTATAAAGGGTTTGAATCATGGTCAGAACCCTACCATACATTAAATAAACCACAGGCACAGAAACCAAACTATTTGTTGTGTATTTAATTATGTCTTGTAGGCATTATTTTGTCATGTCAATCCTTTGTGCATGGCAAGAGTTATGAGTGTGGATGAGATTAAATGAAACCAAGACGCCACCTAAAGAGACTTGAAACTGCCATTTGTGACTGAATTCCATGTTGTGCAGTTGAAACTGCCATTTGTGACTGAATTCCACGTTGTGCAGTTGAAACTGCCATTTGTGACTGAATTCCATGTTGTGCAGTTGAAACTGCCATTTGTGACTGAATTCCACGTTGTGCAGTTGATTTGTGTAAGCATTCTTTTTTCTTATTTTTAAAAAATCAATTCCAAGCAAGTTGATGGCTATATTTTCTCCACGATCTATATGACCTTTAAAGTGTTGTTGTGACCCCATTAAGGGCCAATAAGACTCATGTATGTATTATATCAGAAATTAATGTAAAATACGATTAAAAAGTTAATCCTCTTTTTGCCTTGTCTCCTGAATATATATCTTAATAGGAACGATACTGACATCTGCTGGATTCTTTAAGGAATAACACATGATTTAAAATTAATTTAGCGTGCAGGTTGTTTAATTTGATGTTTTATATTATATCAAACGACTCATTCCATACATGGGCTGTCTCAGAAGTCCAGTGAAGTTATGTTTGACATTCTGTCAGGGGAATAGCCCTGTTTAATAGTGAAATCTAATTATTCTGATGTGAAGCCTAATAGCTATTGATTAAATGCTCTTTAGATGGCCCTCTGTCCCTAGGCACAAGAGAGTAAGAGAGATGCTCGCATAATGGCAGTGATGCATGTTGAATATTAATCTTTTTTGACAGTAATTGCTCCCCACATGAAGGCTCCTTTTCATTTGAATACTAACCACTCATGTGCATTGTAACATGTTTACACAAGCTATACTGAAGAACTCATTGATGAACTATTCCATCCACATAATAATGGCATTGAACACAAGTTATTTGATAATTTTTGCTGTTGCACATGGTATATTTTAGATCAGGAACACAGTATTGATATGATCATTTATATATTTACTGGCTTGTTAAGCCTTATATCACAAACTATTAAACATTTGATTCAGCACAACTTCACAAGTTCAATTGACATTTGAGTGAAATAGTGACATTGATTACATTACAATGATTAACAGATACCGTTGAAGTATGATTATTTTTCAGTTTTTATCATATGATGATATATTTTTAAAGATATATTTTAGTATGACTGTATACATGAGTGTGATTGTGAGAAGCCATTAATAAAAGTATTTTAAATTACAAGAATGAACAGACCACATAAACCATTACACCCTTGGTAAATAGTGTCTGAAGGCTGCCCTCAATACAAAACAATACTCTTTTGAAAGTCGCTCAAACTGTTTGTTGTGCTACGCCCAAACATGTAAAAGCCCACTTAAATATGTACTGAGTGAACCCATTTTTCACAGTGAATGATTTCAGATTTATTTGCTTTTTTGTTACAATAGTTCAAAATGGCCTGGCCAAACATGAGAATGAAAGGATATGGTTTGTACATCATAGAAGTAAGTACACGTTTATCAACCTATTAGAGTGGCCATCAAATAATGTTTGTTCCTGTTCATTATGATTTGTTATGACAACATTGGTCATGGGATCTAACTCTAAATGACTCCTTTGACAAAGGCCAATACAAAGTTAACCTGCACTTGTCCTGTCACTGTGGACATCACATTGAACAGGTGGGGACTGGAAATGTGCAACAGCCGTCCCTCTTCAAATAACCCCTCCACATGAGCCTTATATGGTTGACTAAAGTAATCCATAATGGATTTGTGTCATCAATCATTACATTCAAGATGAATTGCATTGTTATGGAGTAACGTACTCCACACAGTGTGGTAGGCCTGTCCCTCTTAGGGATAAGGGGTAGTCATGTATGGTATAACAAAAGAAAATGCAAAAATATAAGTACAACACTGGAAAGCTGGGGCGTTATCTTATTCATGATTAGATATAACATACTACTTCTAGTTGAGGCATATTAACCATTTCCATGAGGACTTTGGGGGCTCTATAAATATAATGTCCAAAAAATAGTGTGGGATGTGTAGTGACCATAGTCTGAATTACAATGGAGATAGTGCCATCTACTGGCTCATATGAATGTCCTCCAGCATTTGTAACTTTTCACACCTACAGTCGATGGGTCCCTTTTCCCGAAGCAGTGCCAATTCCACTGCTATCTCGTTCCAAACCAGTTGTCTGTTGATGCGTGTTTACCAATCCTATTTTAACAAATGTATTGAGTGCTTTAAACACCTTGTTAGTTTATATTATAAAGATGTATTCAGGGTGTGCAATGTTCTAAAACGTTTGTAATTGAAGAGAGAGTACACTATGAACTGTTTTAAAGGTCCAATGCAGACGTTTTTATCTCCACATCAAATCATTTCTGGATAACAATTAAGTACCTTACTGTGATTGTTTTTAATTCAAATGGTCAAAAATAAACAAAAATGCTTCTTAGTAAAGGGCAATTTCTCAAGCAAGAATTTAGCTAGGACTGACTAGGAGTGGTCTGAGTGGGGAGGGGACAATTGAAAATGTAGCTATTATTGGCAGAGAGGTTTGGAACTCTCTGTCTTATTGGTCTATTAAAGGGATTCTCCGGTACTCTTGTATATTTTTTAACCAGTAGTTCTGAAAGTAGCACTCACGAGCCAAAAGTGGTCCCCGAAAATGGTGTACTACGTCACATACAGTTGAAGTCGGAAGTTTACATACACTTAGGTTGGAGTCATTAAAACCCGTTTTTCAACCACTCCACAAATTTCTTGTTAACAAACTATAGTTTTGGCAAGTCGGTTAGGACATCTACTTTGTGCATGACACAAGTCATTTTTCCAACAATTGTTTACAGACAGATTATTTCACTTATAATTCACTGTATCACAATTCCAGTAGGTCAGAAGTTTACATTCACTAAGTTGACTGTGCATTTAAACAGCTTGGAAAATTCCAGAAAATGATGTCATGGCTTTAGAAGCTTCTGATAGGTTAATTGACATAATTAACTCAGTGCCTCTTTGCTTGACATCATGGGAAAATCAAAAGAAATCAGCCAAGACCTCAAAAAATTGTTTGTAGACCTCCACAAGTCTGGTTCATCCTAGGGAGCAATCTTCAAACGCCTGAAGGTGCCACGTTCATCTGTACAAACAATAGTACACAAGTATAAACACCAAGGGACCACGCAGCCGTCATACCGATCAGGAAGGAGACGCGTTCTGTCTCCTAGAGATGAATGTACTTTGGTGCGAAAAGTGCAAATCAATCCCAGAACAACAGCAAAGGACCTTGTGAAGATGCTGGAGGAAACAGGTACAAAAGTATCTATATCCACAGTAAAACGAGTCCTATATCGACATAACCTGAATGGCCGCTCAGCAAGGAAGAAGCCACTGCTTCAAAACCGCCATAAAAAAGACAGACTACAGTTTGCAACTGCACATGGGGACAAAGATCGTACTTTTTGGAGAAATGTCCTCTGGTCTGATGAAACAAAAATAGAACTGTTTGGCCATAATGACAATTGTTATGTTTGGAGGAAAAGGGGGATCTTGCAAGCCGAAGAACACCATTCCAACCGTGAAGCACGGGGGTGGCAGCATCATGCTGTGGGGGTGCTTTGCTGCAGGAGGGACTGGTGCACTTCA